TTCTTCTGCTCTGTGGTGAGTTTACATCACGAAGGTTTTAAAGAAACAAACAAATTTAAAGAAAGAAAAAAAAAAAACAGGATGGGTCAGTGATTTTCTCCGGTTTTTCTAAAGCGTTGCATAAGTTGATTTTCATATTTTATTATCAATAAAAACACAATAGGTCTTTAAATACTACAGGAAGAGTCTAGATGTAACACAACAGGTCTCTAGAACTTAAATACTACAGGAAGAGTCTAGATGTAACACAACAGGTCTCTAGAACTCAAATACTACAGGAAGAGTCTAGATGTAACACAAGAGGTCTCGAGAACTTAAATACTACAGGAAGAGTCTAGATGTAACACAACTGGTCTTTAGAACTCAAATACTACAGAAAGAGTCTAGATGTAAGACAACATGTCTCTAGAACTTAAATACTACAGGAAGAGTATAGATGTAACACAACAGGTCTCTAGAACTTAAATACTACAGGAAGAGTCTAGATGTAAGACAACATGTCTCTAGAACTCAAATACTACAGGAAGAGTCTAGATGTAACACAACAGGTCTCTAGAACTTAAATACTACAGAAAGAGTCTAGATGTAAGACAACATGTCTCTAGAACTTAAATACTACAGGAAGAGTCTAGATGTAACACAACAGGTCTCTAGAACTTAAATACTACAGGAAGAGTCTAGATGTAAGACAACATGTCTCTAGAACTCAAATACTACAGGAAGAGTCTAGATGTAACACAACAGGTCTCTAGAACTTAAATACTACAGAAAGAGTCTAGATGTAACACAACATGTCTCTAGAACTTAAATACTACAGGAAGAGTCTAGATGTAACACAACAGGTCTCTAGAACTTAAATACTACAGAAAGAGTCTAGATGTAACACAACATGTCTCTAGAACTCAAATACTACAGAAAGAGTCTAGATGTAAGACAACATGTCTCTAGAACTTAAATACTACAGGAAGAGTCTAGATGTAATACAACAGGTCTCTAGAACTTAAATACTACAGGAAGAGTCTAGATGTAACACAACAGGTCTCTAGAACTTAAATACTACAGGAAGAGTCTAGATGTAACACAACAGGTCTCTAGAACTTAAATACTACAGGAAGAGTCTAGATGTAACACAACATGTCTCTAGAACTCAAATACTACAGAAAGAGTCTAGATGTAAGACAACAGGTCTCTAGAACTTAAATACTACAGGAAGAGTCTAGATGTAACACAACAGGTCTCTAGAACTTAAATACTACAGGAAGAGTCTAGATGTAAGACAACAGGTCTCTAGAACTTAAATACTACAGGAAGAGTCTAGATGTAAGACAACAGGTCTCTAGAACTTAAATACTACAGGAAGAGTCTAGATGTAAGACAACATGTCTCTAGAACTTAAATACTACAGAAAGAGTCTAGATGTAACTCAGCAGGTCTCTTGAACTTACATACTACAAGAAGAGTCTAGATGTAACATGCACAAAGCAGAGGAGAAATGTGGACGTGTCTCAGGAACTAAATATCGAAGAGTATTGGTTCAGATGCAGTATCGTTTCTTGTAAACCTAAATGAATCAACCACATTAAACATCATAATGGTTTGGAAAGAACAGTATTTTATTTTAGGTGGGGTGGGGGGGGGGGTTTATGGTTCATAGAAGAAGAGACAGGAATCAATCAGTATAAAGGTGGGCACAGGATGCCAAGGCCAACCTGATCATGAGGGTTCACAAGACAAGAAAAGCTGGCAAGTGTCAATGGATTTCTGGCATGCTCTGATGAGAGCGACGTTCTGCAAAGGACCTACTGCTATACGCTATGATTCATTAAGCGAGACATAGTTCTATGGGAAGAAAACGTCCAGGATCAATTCAAGAATCACGCCATAAACAATAAGAAACACACACAATCTTTGGTACAAGCTTTTGGTAAAAGCCACGCAAATTGGCCTTCAGTCGTAAACACGGAAATAGCATCAACAATTGTCCTCCAACCATTTGAGAGTTAAAATGGTTTATTCTTTAATTGCCGAAGAGTCAAACTTTAATTACGCGATTATCGGCTTGAAATTCATGGCCAGAAAAGCAAAAACAGCCGTGGTCTCCAACCGTATTTTCAGGTCACCTCCTTGAGTATATGGCAAGACCCCCCCCCCCCCCCCCCCCCCCGCCCCCCCCCCCCCGATGAGTATATGACAAGATCCTCCACTTTGAGGATATTGCATGACCCCATGCCTCCCATCCCCAATATAAAGAAATGCAATTGAAGAAGAAAAAGACAGTATGGAGATACGTTATCTTATTCTTCTTCGCGTTCACCAGCCGTACACTCTGGCGGAAAGTTCTTGTTGATCGTCCACTTCTGAACTGCATTCCTGCTCTAGAAACTGAGTGTTGCGTGTCCATCAGTCTTACATATCTAATTTACTTGAATGCAGACTGTTGGTTCCTTGCCTCTCAGGCAGATGCACTATGACTTCAAAGCCGACTCTTACGACAGCCTACTCTTGGGTAGGCAGTGGGTCTATTCCTGTTTTCCCTACAGTGGGACCCGGAACCCACACGGGGAGAGATACGTTATGCTTTTGGCTAGAATGTATTCTTAATCTAAAATCTAAAAATACCTATGTTTTTATAATAATTCGATTTTAAGTTTAGATGTACAAACGTCTTGTGGGAAAGAAGACCTTGGCTCTCTGCGGAAAAACAAAAGACCTTTGATTCTTGTTTTACACATAGTTTTTAAAAAGTATTTTATTTTATTCATAATTAAACTGAAAATGAAACAAATATATATATATATATATATATATATATATATATATATATATATATATATATATATATATATATATATATACGGATTATTACAAATACAAATGCACCTAATTTCAAAATTGAAGCCTTCTCACCCCCCCCCGCCCCAGGGGCGCGCCCCCTTGGTTGGAGACCACTAAAGTAGGGGATGGCAGACCGAAATATTGAAAACAAATTCAGAAAAATGAATAAGGTTTCACCAGAATAAGACGAACAAACACTGTATAATAACGTAGTGATGCAAGCCGTTACGGCGATAAGTTTTTAGTCTCTTCTTTCGCTTCATGTGTCAGGATATCAAATAATTTTACCTTATCATAATACGTGTCTTGTTTCGCCCCTGAGTACACATCCAGAGTATCTGACCGTGACTTAGTTGCTGTTGGTTCCTTTGATTTGTTTCGATACTTCTTTCCTCGTCTTCTGAATTGTTTGTCCATCATCCAGACGCTTTTGTCGTCTTGGTTAGTTAGACCAAACAAGGAAAATGCCGTCTGCGTGCCTTTAAACTCTGCCAGTTTGGGTGTTACTGTTTCGTTGATTGAAGTCAGAAGTTTCTCATTTGTATTTGATCCCAGCTCTAGAAAAGATATCTTTTGACTGGATTCGGTTGTTGTCGAATATTCTACCTTCTTGAGGCGACGTGAATTGATTTTATTTTTATTGCGCTTATTCTGCCTTTTCCTTTTCTCCCGCTCTCTTCTCCTCTTCTTCTTTTCTTCTTTCCGTGTTAAGGTTGCATTGCTAGGAGAGTTTCCCAGTTGAAGAGATGATGTGATATGGCTGGTTAGGTCAATCATCTCTGCTGCTCTAGCGGGTGCCCTGATTAGCTTAGGTTCTCTGCTTTCCTCCAGGTCATGGTCATGTACGTCTATGAAGTTCTCGGCTTCTGGGACATGCTCAATCTGTAAAGAGATACACAGTCGTCTAGTAAGTAAAAGAATCATTGTCTCGCCAGTGGGACATCGATCATAATATATTCATTACCGTCATTGTCATGTTGTGTCATTAAATGTCACATAGGGCTCGCAGTCTATTCCTCCATTCCGTTTTCTTCTTCTTCTTCTTCTTCTTCTTCTTCTTCTTCTTCTTCTTCTTCTTCTTCTTCTTCTTCTTCTTCTTCTTCTTCTTCTTCTTCTTCTTCTTCTTCTTCTTCTTCTTCTTCTTCTTCTTCTTCTTCTTCTTCTTCTTCTTCTTCTTCTGCGTCTGGAATGTCTGGTGGCGTTAGGATAGGAAGAGATCTCTGGAAGGGGCCCTTCGTTTCGTTTCGTAAAAAGTACTTTTCAGAGTCGCTGATATTTCTGTGGTCCATATTCTGCGGAATCGATCTATGGCTCTGTTACAGTTGTATCTGTTTAACATTGCTCACCGTGGGGTCCTGTCTGATGCCAGTCTTGTTACATGGTCAAACCATTTGATTTTTTTGTCTACCTATAAAATTCTGTGTTTATTCTGTTTCCACTCTCCTCCTGATATAATTGTTCTTAAATAGATCTTTCCTTGTTACGCCTAGCAAAGTATGTAAACATTCCATTCCGTTCTTTCCCTTGCAATCTCTTCAATATCATTTATAGAATCTCCCTGTGTGGTTTCTGGGGCCCTATTATAGGAAAAAAAGAATAGGCCCACTGCTTACACAGAAGCATATCGTAACAGTCGACTAATTGGGAGCTTCCTTCATTAGTCGGAGTGCATCTGTCTGAGAGTTAAGGAACCAGCAGTCTGCATACAAATGAGTCAGATCTCTAAAACGGATGCACACATAACACTCAGGTTCTAGAAAAGGACTGTAGTCCAAAAGTGGATGAACAATCAGAACTTTCCGCAGAGTTTACAGCTGGTGAACACGAAGAAGAAGCAGAATTGATAGAATCCTGTCCAGTAGCTTTGGCTTATCTCATAACCTCCGCTTTAAGTTTTCTTTTGGCCGTTCTCGTTGCCTCAATCCCTTTACTTCAAATGTCAGTGTTTGTTGGTGATTCTCTCTTCTTTTCTTCGTAGAATGTGTCCTATACAGCTACATCTTCTTTGTCTATTAACTACTGTTACCAATGACAGATCAAGCATTTCTCATTGTATTTTATCGCTTTTGAATAAATTACAGTTTAAATTCTACATTTTCCACATGCATTTGTTTTCACATGCATTTAATTTTCGTTTCATGTGTTTAGCCGTTCTCCAACTTTCACTGGCATATGTTAAAAATGAAATAATATTAGAAATAAAAATATGTAGTTTAAGAAAAAAATTATATGACTTAGAATTCCCAGACTTGTTCAGACTTTTAAAAGCTTTTCTTCACCTATTTTTAATTCTTTTAATTCTATGCTCGACATTTTCCACTGGGATTTGTTTTCACATGCATTTAAATTTTTGTTCTGTTTTTAATGATTCTCCAACTTTTACTAGCATATGTTAAAAGTGAAATAACATTAAAATAAAAATGCACAGCCTTCTTTTCTGCTGCTTTGTCCTAAAGTCCATGCCGTGTGGCGTTGGTAGTCATGTCCATCCACAACCTTCTGTCTCGCGTACTTTCAGTCAGCTCTAACACAGATGATCTTCCATGCCATGATGTTAAACTGTCCAGCATCTTTTCTCTCGGTCTCCCGCTGCCTCTCCTCTTTTTTCCAACTGTCAGGCATTGGGTAAAAAAAAAAAAAAACCTACGTGAAGAAGAAAAAAGAGGAGGAGGAGAGGGAGTAGGAGGGAAGAAGAACTAACTCTTACTTTACTTATTCGTTCCTCTTCTAACCTGGGTTGTAGAGGTGGATAACTGACCTCACTGCACATTAACAAACATATCGTAAAAGCCGACTGAACAAGTATCTTCCTAAATCTGATGTGCTGAGCTGAATGCCTTAGATATCGCAGTCGAGCTGTAAATTACAATGTAAAGTTCCAGCCTCCCTTTTTAGGGCGATGACCGAGAAAGAAGAAGATGTTCATCGGATGAACATGTACCAATTATTTGGTTGTGATGAGTACAATATGCTCACCGTTTCCGCGGTGTCGTTGTTGTGTCTGCGATGCTTCCTCTCCTCCAGAAGATCTTTCTTTGTGCCCATACAACGTCTTTCACAATCTTCTGCTGTCCGGAATTTGTTCTGGTTGCCTCCGCAGCCGCTGAAAGTGTGTTATTATTGTTATTATTATTATTATATTATTAAAAACGGTAAATACGTGTGAGTGGATGAGTTAGGCTGTCTTAGACTACCTATGTGTGACAAAAATGTTTATTCGACGGATCAACATCATGACACCCAGGTGTAACCCATAAGTGCTCTGTTATAATTCTAACTCAAGCCTGAGTATGAAGAATCTCATCACAGCGCACGAACTCCGTTTCACCGGTGAGAATCCTGAAATACTTTGGGTAGTTTTTTTGTTTTAATTCTAAATTTTGCCCGGGCAGCGCCGTTAGACTACTCTTTTCGATTTCCAACTGCTAAGTGATTTTTTCGTCCGCAAGAATACACACGGGTGTCCGATCTTACTACCCAGAGACCAGTGGAAATTACTAGAAGTCAGCATGAAAAAATCCCAGCCTTCACCGGCGCTGGAACCCAGGGCGTCCAGCACTTGAGGCGGACACCATACCTCGAGACCACCCAGAGTAGGGATGTTAGGCTGTCTTAAATTACCTGTATGCCATACAAATGGTAAATACGTGTGAATGGAGGCGTCTGGCTGTCTTATATTACCTGTATACGATAAAAATAGTAAATACGTGTGGAGAAATATGTCTTTCTTATATTACCTGTATGTGATATAAATGGTAAATATATGTGACTGGAGGAGTTAGGCTGTCTTATTTTACCTGTATGTGAAACAAATGGTAAATATGTGTGATTGGAGGAGTTAGGCTGTCTTATATTACCTGTATGTGATACAAAGGGTAAATACATGTGAGTGAAGGAGTCTGGCTGTCTTAGATTACCTGTATGTGATACAAATGGTAAATATGTGTGAGTGGAGGAGTCTGGCTGTCTTATATTACCTGTATGTGATACAAATAGTAAATATGTGTGAGTGGAGGAGTCTGTCTGTCTTATATTACCTGTATGTGATACAAATAGTAAATATGTGTGAGTGGAGGAGTCTGGCTGTCTTAGATTACCTGTATGTGAACCAGCTGCAGGTCCCCATGTGAACATTGAAGTACCATCTCATAAACTGGGCTTTACACTTTCCTGGGATTGGTGGCTTGCGACAAATGTCCGATTTCACTGAAATATTCCAGGAATATGTTGGTAAACATTTTTAAATATAACATATCTACAACTGTTTTCTCTGACATGGACTGTCCTAGAATAACGTAAACGAAAAATTACCTGTGAGATAAAATGTACAAGAAATGCCACGGGAAAAACAACAAGAGACAGAATCATAGATGATGAACTTAGAACAAAAGTAGGCACAGTACCGATGGGTGATTTTATAGAACATCAAAGAATCAAGGGTGTACAAGGGAACGAGTGTGCAGCTCTGTGACGTTTTCCGGCACAAGAAGTAGGACAACAGAAAAAAAAAAGTCTACATACAATATTTTTATTGGACACACTATATTCAACAGTGCACAATCAGCCAGCAGTTACAGAGTGCTACATTACAACTGAAGGCGACAATTCAAGAGATTGACCAAGAAAGAATAGGGCACTAGAACAGAAAATAACTACAGGTGAAATGCACTGTTTCCGCAAGGTCACTAACAACACAAGACGAGACATGGTTTGGACTACTCTTTTCAATTCCAACTGCCGAGTGATTTTTTACGTGCGCAACAATGCACACGGGCGTCCGATGTCACTACCCAGATACCAGGGGTATCTAGAAGTTCAAGTCCACGTGAAAAAATCCCAGCCCTTTAACGGGGATTGAACCCGGAACCTCTAGCACTCGAATCGGACACCATGCCTCGAGACCACGCAGCCCGCTAGCTGCCCTTGGTAAAGCAGTACACGTCTCTGAAACCAGTTCTGTTAGTTACTCTTGTTGTCGGTAAACGCAGTTGATGTCTAAAAATCCGCATCTCTACACCCACCAAGTTCTTCTTAATTTGTTCATTCGGATACCAACTTTCGTTGGAATATAGAAGCACTACTTCAGCTTTTCAGCACTCTTCTTCTTCTGTTTAATGAGGCCTGTTGCATACACAATTTTTTTTTTATGCCACCTTCACCTGACGTATTCTCCTCTTGATCTCTGCTGCACATCTTCCATCAAATTGTCCCAGAATAGTTGAACTTGTTGATCTATTTAATATATTTGCCATCTCCTGTAATTTAAAAATACTGCGGGTCCCACTCTTCCTTCTCCCCTCCTTTTTGTCCCCCTTCTTTGTTGTAACCATTGTTTCTGCCATTTTAACTGGATTTCATTTAAGTGTAACATAAAAACAAGTTTGGCTAAAACTATAACCAGCTTACCTACGACATGGGTATCGTGTACACACACGGGAAACTTCATGGTTCGAGGCCATTCTATTGACTGCAGAGCACAGACTTTTTTAACTGGACAAATAAGCTTGTAGGCCTGGAGGAAATAAACAGGTTGAGGATGTACAAGATGATAAAGGCTTTTGAAGCCTTATCACACAAACCAGCGGTTGCCATGGGACGGCATTGATTAGCACAGGAACCTTAATATCGAGGCCCCGGTACCTTGAACCCCCACCAAATATTGTTGGGGTGGTGGTCGTGGTGGGGGTGAAGGTTGGGGGGGGGGGTTGGAGGTATGAGTCCGTCTATAAAATGTAAGTGGGCTGAGTCCCCCTTCCTTAAAAAATTTGCAAAGGGAGTTGTCTCCGTGCTAGACTGTCACTACTGCCTGTTTTTACTACTTATGCTGTTTGGGCAAAAAGGGGGGTGGTCTTTGAGCCAGAAGATTGGTTAGTGCTGTCGGTTAGTGCTCCTCCCGGGTCTTTACCTCCTCCCAGGTCTTTATCTCCTTCTAGGTCTTTACCTCCTCCCAGGTCTTTACCTCCTTCTAGGTCTTTACCTCCTCCCAGGTCTTTATCTCCTTCTAGGTCTTTACCTCCTCCCAGGTCTTTACCTCCTTCTAGGTCTTTACCTCCTCCCAGGTCTTTACCTCCTTTTAGGTCTTTACCTCCTCCCAGGTCTTTACCTCCTCCAAGGTCTTTACCTCCTTCTAGGTCTTTACCTCCTCCCAGGTCTTTACCTCCTTCTAGGTCTTTACCTCCTTCTAGGTCTTTACCTCCTCTCATGTCTTTACCTCCTCCCAGGTCTTTACCTCCTTCTAGGTCTTTACCTCCTCTCACGTCTTTACCTCCTCCCAGGTCTTTACCTCTTCCCAGGTCTTTACCTCCTTCCAGGTCTATAACTCCTCCCATTTAAGGCTGCATGCACCTGGGAGTCAAGGTCTTTTTTTTTTTTTTTTTAGACCCAAAAAAATCCAGCTTGATATACGGATTTGAATCTTCAGATCCGCATTTGATCGTCAAGTCACTTCGCTACAGCGGATCCCAGGCAATATTAAGGGGACTGATAAGAGCTTTCAACAAATAGATGCAGCGAGGGATGCCAGGCAATATCAAGGGGACTGACAAGAGGTTTCAACAAATAGATGTAGCGAGAGATTCCAGGGACGTAATCACGTAATTGCAGCTGCAGGTATATAGTAAACTAGTCACCGCAGAGTTGTTGTGTTCCTGTACCAAGGAAAACCACACAGAACGTCTTTCTTCGCTGTCTCTTGTAGAGAAATAAAACTGGACACAGGCTGCAGTCTCAAAATATCCTGGGAAGTAAATGCTGCCGGCGTGATGCTGAACGTGACGCTGAAAGTCGATTGGTCGTTAACAATTCAGGACTAAGTGTGTCTGTCGATGTAAGCCTAACAATGGAGAGGGAGAAGGAAAGTACAAGACGAAGGAAAATAAACTAAAACAAGAAGAACAACAGAAACAACAAGAACAATACAAACAGAAAGAAGAACAACACTGTTAAGAATAATAAGAACAACAAGAAAAACAAAGAACATAAAGAATAACAAAAACATATAGAATAACAAAGACAAAAAAAAAAAAAAAAAAAACAAATCGAAAACAAAAACAACACGAAAAACGAAGAACAATACAAACAATAAGAAAAATAGAAACAATAAGAACAATACAAGCAATAAGAACAATACAAACAATAATAACAACACAAACAGTAGACACAGTAGAAACAATAAGAACAATAAAAACAATAAGAACAAAACGAACAACGAGAACAACATGAACTACACGAACCACACAAACAACAGAACAACAAGAACAGCAAGAACACACAATAACAACACGAACAGCCTGAATAAAAAGAACAAAATATAATTATAAGAACCACACAAGAACAAAAAAGAACAACACCATCAGTAACAACACAAATACGAAATATGACACGAAGAGCAAGAAAAACATCAACAACAAGAAGAACAAAAAGAACATAATAAGAAGACCAATAAGTACAATAAGAAAGAAGTAAGTTGAGCACCATTGATGCCCTGTTGTTTCCTTTGACCCAGCTTGTCCCTATTACAGAGGAGCAAATGTTGGTAAGTACGAAAGATACCTCATCCATTTACATGTCCACAAACCGCATTCTTGAGCCCGTTACTCTAAAGCATTCCTTTCGACACGAACACTCAAAGTCCTCGTGCCCTTTCCATTACCACCTATTCATCACTGGAGGGGATCTGTATGTCTGCTTCTTCGGCTTGGACATGCCGTCTTGACTCCGTATCAACACATAAACAACATCACAATCCACTTAAGACCCAGCAGTAAATCACATCTGCCAGAGTAGGTTTCCGATTTTTAATGCAGAAGAGGCCTTACAAACGCAGAAGTATGGTTACCTGCAGCAACATGTATTGACTAGTGTTGGTAATTGTACCAGCTCAGGTAGGATTTGTTAATTGCCTTCTCCGAGAATGTTAATGTCTTCACTTGTGCTGTTTTCACTTTTTGTCTATTTGTCGGCTCTCTTAGGTTGTCGTTTTTTTTTCGGTGTCAGATCGTGTCTGCCACATATCAAGCCAAATTGACTGCCTCTTTCTCTCTCTCTCTCTCTCTCTCTCTCTCTCTCTCTCTCTCTCTCTCTCTCTCTCTCTCTTAAAGTGTTAGACCGACTTAGCTACTTTCTTCCTATGTGTCAAGCATTTCTCTATATTTTTCTCTTTCTCTGTAAGGCTAAACTCTCTCTCTCTCTCTCTCTCTCTCTCTCTCTGTGTGTGTGTGTGTGTGTGTGTGTGTGTGTGTGTGTGTGTGTGTGTCAGACTGTCTAAACTCTCTCTCTCTCTCTCTCTCTCTCTTGAAGTGTCTGATCGACTTAACTACTTTCTTCCTATGTGTCAAGCTCTCTTAATTACCTCCTCTCTCTCTCTCTCTCTCTCTCTCTCTCTCTCTCTCTCTCTCTCTCTAAGGCTGTCTAAACTCTCTCTCTCTCTCTCTCAATATGTCAGGCGGACTTAACTAACTTATCCCTATGTGTCTAGATCTCTTAATTACACCTCTCTCTCTCTCTCTCTCTCTCTCTCTCTCTCTCTCTCTCTCTCTCTCTCAATGTGTCAGGCTGACTTAACTACCTTTTCCCTATATGTCAGTCTCTCTTAATTACTCTCTCTCTCAAAGTGTCAGGCTGTCTACTCTCTCTCTCTCTCTCTCTCTCTCTCTCTCTCTCTCCTCTCTCTCTCCCTCTCTCAAAGTGTTAGGCTACACAACTACCTTCTCCCTACGTATCAAGCTCTTAATTATCCCCACTCTCTCTATATATATCTATCTCTCTCCAGGTGTCAGGCTACCTAAACTCTCTCTCTCTCTCTCTCTCTCTCTCTCTCTCTCTCCAGGTGTCAGGCTGACTCACTTCTCCCTATGTGTCAAATCTCCTAATTACCCCCCCCCATCCGTTTTCTCTCTCTCTCTCTCTCTCTCTCTCTCTCTCTCTGTCTCTCTCTCTCTCTCTCTCTCTCTCTCTCTCTCTCTCTCTCTCTCTCTCTCTCTCTCTCTCTCTCTCTGCCAGACTGTCTTAATTTCTTTTTTTAGTCATGTGTTTCTACAAAATCCACTTGTGGCCTCTTTGTAATTTCAGAGGCTAAACAAATTAACCACTCACCTCACAAACACGTCTGGCTTCCCCTCCAAATATGAAGTTTGCACCGTGTACCTGGCAACACATAAGTATATGTTATTTAATTTCACACTTATACACTGTTCAGTTGGTTTCTACAGTGGTATCAAGAAAGCCGACCGTCCAGAAAGCAATGGCAAACTACTGGACGTACATTTGCCTAGAAAAACCACATAACAGCCAGGGGCTGTTGAGGTTGGTTCTGCAACGTCCTGTAAAGGATACGCAACTAACATAACACTGTTCAATCAAAACAGTACAGTTGTGTAGAGCGGAAACATGGAGAACAGCTCAGACAATTACTAATTAACTACAAACATTCATTAACTGGCACCTGTGCAGAATAAAGGGGACCAAACTGAATGATAGAATCCCTAATGCAGAGCTTTCGGAGAGGTTTAAAGTTTGAAACCTCTCCGAAACATCTAAACCTCAAGCCTCTCTCTCAAACCTCTTAGGTCACAATTATAACCTAAAGCTAACCCATTCGAGGATGCTAGTTGAACGTGACGATTTGTTTTCTCCACAAAAATGATGATGATGATGGAAGAGGGCGTTAAAGCTGCGGTTTGAGCCCCAGTGTTCTGGCGCCTCTGGTGTGTGTGTGTGTGAGTGTGTGTGTGTGTGTGTGTGGAAAGACAGAAAGACAGAGGGAGAGAGAGGGCGTTTGTTTACTGTCATCCAGGACAAAAACTTCAAGCCTCTAGCACAGCACCTGCAGCAGCAGCCACTCAACAAACAGCAAACAAGTAATGCCAGGGTCTCAAGACTTCTTAAACAACATGGACATCAGAGAACCCGAGCGGCAGTACCTGTCAAAATCTGACAGACGACTGGGAGACAACAGCTGAGTCAACATGAACATGACAAGCAATACAATGGCTTTGTGCTTGGGTTGCCTGACTCTAGTAGGGCTCGTGCCTGTACAGTAATGATCTGGCTTCATCAGCAGCTTTTTGTTTTGTTTGTGAAAGTTAAACCAGCCTTACTCCATCATGGATATGAAGGATTCTTCCTCCTCTTCTTCTTATTCTTCGTCTGCTTCTTCTTCTTCTTCTTCGTCTGCTTCTTCTTCTTCTTCTTCGTCTGCTTCTTCTTCTTTTTCTTTTTCTTTTAATTTTTCTTCTTCTTCTTCTTTTTCTTCTTCTTGTTCTTCTTTTTCTTCTTCTTCTTCTTCTTCTTCTTCTTCTTCTTCTTCTTCTTCTTCTTCTTCTTCTTCTTCTTCTTCTTTTTCTTCTTCTTCTTCTTCTTCTTCTTCTTCTTCTTCTTCTTTTTCTTCTTTTCTTCTTCTTCTTCTTTCTTCTTCTTCTTCTTCTTCTTCTTCTTCTTCTTCTTCTT